TTGCTAAATCCTGATGCAGCATTAATGTGGAAGTTTAGTTTTCATGGATCTTGATGTAGCATTAATGAGGAAGTTTAGCCTGTTTCTGGAGGGTTGGTAACATTCCTTTTTTTGACACCATAAGAACATCCTATTTTGAGAAGTGGCACATTCCCTTCCTGTAGTATTAACTCATAAACCAAGTTTCTAACAGTCTGAAGCAGTTTCTAGAGGGAAGTGCTTTGAGAATTGGCTGCTGAGACAGCTGAAAGCAGCGCTGACCCTTCAAACCTCTCCTCCTTGATCCAGTCACATCCCAAGAGACCAATGTGCTGCTCTTTCCTCACCACTTCTTGCCACTCAAACAGGAGCTCATATCCCACAGTCAACACCCTTTCAGACATCACCTGCATGTTCTTCACTCTGTTTAGTACAGAACAGATGGTTCAAAGCAATTCAACAACCAACTGTGCCCCAGAATTGATCAGGGCAGAGTTAGCTCATCTGTGGAAGTGTCAAGCTCCAAATTAGAAGTAATGAACCCTTCCCACACCAGCCAGATCCAAAAATACTTCAGTCATGCCTTGAGGGGGCATATCCACCAATAATTCTATACAGGTTAAACATTTTCCTGATACAGAAGCAGCTCTAGTGGCAGTAGCTATGCAGAAGTAATTAGTAACTCTAACAGCAATGTGTCACATCTCTGCTAAGAATCAGCTGTTACAGATCTGGACAGACTTCTTCCAGCTACACCCCAAGCTCATTCTGCTAAAGCCTGAGGTGTAACAGCATTGGGAAATACAGAGAGGATAACTCTGACTTACTCATTTCATTAACTTGTAGAGCATAGCAGGATAGGAGAGCTAAAATAAGAAGGAAAACTGAAGAAGATTGAAGACACCATTCATTTTTCTTGACTAGAAACATTGCTAAAACCTGTCTATTGTCAAGGCACAAGGATCAAAACTGACTAAGCAAAGTCTAAAAAATAATCAATAATTTATTAAGGACAGAAAAGGATACTGTAAGGAATCACTCTAAGAAATCCAGCTGATGGTCAATCAAAATGCTTCACTTTTTTTAATTGCCAGCAAAAAAATATGGAGAAACTAATAAAATGCATGTCTGCTTGAAAAAATCATGCTTTGTTAGTCTCTACCTGCACTGTAAATACCTTGATATGTGCAGGTCAAAAGTTAAAAATAAGCATAATCAAAACATGCTCATTTGGTGCTGTAATGAAGCAGGACATGACATCAAAGACATCAAATTGTTGTTGTCTCCTGGGTTCATGAGGCATCAAAATCTGACTGGAGGGTGGTCATTGCAGCATTGAAGCCTTGCAGCTGAGAGATTAATATTATTTTTTTGTGAAATCTCTTCCATAGCAATGCTGAGTAAAGCCAGTTCATGAACTTCTTTCAAAAATGTCTTTAGTATGTCCCTCCCTTGTGGGGAGACACTTCAAGCCATGGGAATTTCAAGACGTCATTAATAAAGCAAAAACTTAGTTGAAATAATCAGATGCTACTACCCCCTCACCTAAGTGATGATCCACCAAAGTGGATTTTTTAAAGGTAAAAAAACTGTTTGCTACTTCAGTGTCTTGAAGTCTGTTGATAAGTTTTCTTGAGTCCCCAGTGTACAGTTTATAGCCTTCAACTTGTTTCTTATTAATCCTCATAGTTTTTCATAATTATAATAACATAATATACTTTAAGAAATGTAGGGCTACTTTATCAGAACTTCCAGATTGTCAGAAATCTGAAAAGGAAAATAAAACTTTGATCAGGACTAACTCATCCATACTTGATTTGACCATACATGGCTTTCCCTGAAGATGCAGATGTGACTAAGCTTTCATTTGTCAATCTCAAATTCTTACATTCAAATAAGATATTATTTCTTCAAATACATTAATGTGAATAAATCTGACTTGGTGAATCAGTTGCAAGTGCCATATTAAGAAAACGGAATCTCAAGAGATGTAACAAATAATTAAGTCCTTGTGGGAAACTCATCTGCTTCCCCATTTATCCACAGGAGATTTACATGCAAAACTTGTATTGACGCTACTTGTAATTAACATTAAGCACTTAAAAGAACACAGAAAATTGGAATGCTGGGGGGAAAAAGCACTGTATTTTCTAGCCATTAAGATCTATGTCTTAATTTAGATCTGCAGATTTTTATGCTTATAAAAGCTTTCACTTTTTGAAACATGTACAAAGGATGGCTCCTGAGAACTGAGATTTTCAGTATTATCCTATTATTCTAGGACAGGTTCAACTGAAAAAATATCCCACTTTAATCCAATAATAAACATTCTATGGTAAGTGCTATTACAAATCTGGATTCAATTAATTCGAGTCCTTGCAAAGTTTGTTGGATTAAATAGCTAAATGGATCTGGTTAATACCTGTAACCAGGAACATTCCATGTGGCTTTGAAATGAGCTTCCAATGTATCACCTCTTTTTGTTACATGTGACTATATTGACACAGAGTTTTGTAGATTTATGCAGGGTCATTTCCCTCTGTGTATGAAATTTGTGCTGAGGTAAATCACATTTCTGCAAAACTGATGGAAGGGTCACATGCTCCTGTCCAAGTAAAGCCAACAAACTCCAAATGAACACATGCACAACTTCCTAAAGTAGTGTATTGCATTAGGGGTATGAAGTAATGTCTCTAAACATTACTTCATGTAAGTGCTGACAGTGACCCTGGAACATTGCAAATCTAATCTGAGGGCACTCTGGACTGGCTGGGGAATGTCAAGAGGAATGACAGCTTTACAGTATGACACATAAGTTCAAAAATATTTAAATTAAAGCCTTTAAAATTTTAAATAGTGCATTGAGTGTATATAACAAAAAAAAAAAAAAAAAAAAAAAAAGCCTAGAAGACACTTAGCAGCAAAGCTGTTAGATCCTGAATTCTATAGATTTTGACTGAATTTTTTGTATTGTGCTCATGTGGAACCCTATAGATTTGGACTGATTTTTTTTGTATTGTGCTCGTGTGAAGGAATATCTGTAACTCATGAACATCCCACTGTGTCAGCAATCCCAAGGATAACACAGGTAAATATTTATTAATTTCATGAGTTATGAGCCAGCTACTACAGAACTGATGGAGCAAAGTTTTCCTCACCATTACAAAATGAAGTAATTTCTAAAATCCTATGTATTTTTACAGCAAAACCAGTACCTTTCCAAAGAAAAACTGTGTTTTGCCTTATTAAAGTGGTGATGAAGTACCAGAGTATGACCCTGAACAACAAAGTCTGTGCAAGCATAGGCATGGCTTCTGAGGCCAAAGCATTCTAGAACTCATGCTGCCGTTCCTCTCTTCTCCAGTGAAGAGATTTCTTGAAGAAACCTCTGTGAGTGGTTTTTGCAGAGATGTTGATGATAAGAAGTACACACTGATTTTCAGGAAAAAAAGTGATGGCCAACAGCATTTTCCTGCAGCCTCTGAGGCTCTCCCAGCCCAGCCAGCCCAAAAACCCCTTGGGTTTGCTGCATGGCTGCTCCTCTATACCTTCAAACCTTGCTGAATTGTCAGATGCCAAACCTGTGCCATCTGAGTGTCATGTTCTCTGCCTTTGCTTTTTTCCAGGTGGTTCTTTTCCTGCCAGGAGTGCAGCCTGGTGCTGTGGGCTGGAGGGCTTTCACATGAATGACAGTGACACTGCTCAGGCTGCACTAACTTGACATGAGATAAAAATTCATGGATGTGACACAGAGGTTGTTCCTCAGCAGACCCTCTGTTACACAGCAAAATGCAGTCTCCTCTTCCCACAGAAAATATTAAAGGCACCTCTGTCATGATCTGTTTGGAGCTCTCAAATCTGCAGGACACAACACTCTGTAAATTAAACTTTGCTCATCAGCTCTGGGAAAGAAGAACACAACAAACAAAGGCTCCATCCCTTTGCAAAGGAGAAGGAAGGAAGGAAGGAAGGAAGGAAGGAAGGAAGGAAAGGAAGGAAGGAAGGAAGGAAGGAAGGAAGGAAGGAAGGAAGGAAGAAGGAAGGAAGGAAGGAAGGGAAGGAAGGAAGGAAGGAAGGAAGGAAGGAAGGAAGGAAGGAAGGAAGGAAGGAAGGAAGGAAGGAAGGAAGGAAGGAAGGAAGGAAGGAGGAAGGAAGGAAGGAAGGAAGGAAGGAAGGAAGGAAGGAAGGAAGGAAGAAGGAAGGAAGGAAGGAAGGAAGGAAGGAAGGAAGGAAGGAAGGAAGGAAGGAAGGAAGGAAGGAAGGAAGGAAGGAAGGAAGGAAGGAAGGAAGGAAGGAAGGAAGGAAGGAAGGAAGGAAGGAAGGAAGGAAGGAAGGAAGGAAGGAAGGAAGGAAGGAAGGAAGGAAGGAAGGAAGGAAGGAAGGAAGGAAGGAAGGAAGGAAGGAAGGAAGGAAGGAAGGAAGGAAGGAAGGAAGGAAGGAAGGAAGGAAGGAAGGAAGGAAGGAAGGAAGGAAGGAAGGAAGGAAGGAAGGAAGGAAGGAAGGAAGGAAGGAAGGAAGGAAGGAAGGAAGGAAGGAAGGAAGGAAGGAAGGAAGGAAGGAAGGAAGGAAGGAAGGAAGGAAGGAAGGAAGGAAGGAAGGAAGGAAGGAAGGAAGGAAGGAAGGAAGGAAGGAAGGAAGGAAGGGAAGGAAGGAAGGAAGGAAGGAAGGAAGGAAGGAAGGAAGGAAGGAAGGAAGGAAGGAAGGAAGGAAGGAAGGAAGGAAGGAAGGAAGGAAGGAAGGAAGGAAGGAAGGAAGGAAGGAAGGAAGGAAGGAAGGAAGGAAGGAAGGAAGGAAGGAAGGAAGGAAGGAAGGAAGGAAGGAAGGAAGGAAGGAAGGAAGGAAGGAAGGAAGGAAGGAAGGAAGGAAGGAAGGAAGGAAGGAAGGAAGGAAGGAAGGAAGGAAGGAAGGAAGGAAGGAAGGAAGGAAGGAAGGAAGGAAGGAAGGAAGGAAGGAAGGAAGGAAGGAAGGAAGGAAGGAAGGAAGGAAGGAAGGAAGGAAGGAAGGAAGGAAGGAAGGAAGGAAGGAAGGAAGGAAGGAAGGGACAGTGGCTGCATAAGGATCTTCAGCATTTCTTGGTGTGGTAAATGGTCAGAATTCTACAGTCAACTTGGTGAAGAATTGAGGAGACTGAAGGTTGAGGGAAACTTGAGCTGAGCCCCTTCCTTATCTTGCAAGGGCTTGAGCAAAGGCTGAGGACTGCAGGATGTCTGTAATGTGGGGCACAGAAGAGCACCTGCACATCTCTACCAGCCTCTTCACTGTGTGAACAGGTCTTCTTGCAAATCTGGTCCCATAAGGAGATAAGGATGTGCACAAAGTCTCTCTGGTGAAGGTCAGATAGCTTTTATTGCCACCTCAGCATGTGGAAGAGGAGCAAAGTGTTCATTCTACCTCCTGTGTCAAGTATCAATTCTGACAGAAAGTAACCAAGACCCTCATTAAACTCCATTTCCATATTAAGTTTCATACCCCTAAGAATTCAAGTGAAATAAAAGAGGACATGAAACACATGTGTGACCAAAGTTCCCAGAACTCCAGCTGTCAGATGTAATTTTTCCACCTCACCATCAAGATTCAAAATTTATAGCATAAAAGGGGGAATTTGGGGCAAAAAGGACAGAGGGGGACAAAACCTTGGCTCGGGATCAGCTGATAGACTGTGTCCTTCCTCCTCTCCTGAAGAGACACTTTTAGGTGAAATTTGCCCTTCATTGGAGCAGAGGTGGAAATATTTATTTTTATATTTATATTGTTAGTAGATCTCTGTTACTATGCTTTCTGTGGCAATCTCTGTAGTCAGTGCATTTATCACCAGCAATTCTGAGCATGCTTTTCTGTCCCTTCAATAATCTGTACTGTGACTCTGCATCGTGCAGGTCCTTACTGAGCACGGTTACAGTGCTGAATGGGCCGTGGTCAGAAATCACAGCTCACTGATCTCTGAAAAGCAGCTGGAGCACAGGGGGTTGATGGTCTGACAGTTTTCTGTGCCCTGAACACAGCAGGTTGTATGATGCCCTCCCCAGCACATTGGTCCTGCTGATTCCATGGCAAACATGTCAGACCATCTCATTAATTTAGCTGGAAATTAATTAAAATGCTTTATGCGTGTATTTCTCTCCTTGCCAGTTTTTTTTCCAGTCAGATTAGAGAGCTAAGTCATCTCACCAGAAGCTCGGAGTAGTGATAATCCTAAAAGAAGCACTAAAAATTATACGTTAAAAATGTGAGCACCACATTCCATGATGCTTCATCAGATCTTATACATCTTTGAAGACAACTCAACTTTGGAGTCCTTTTTTTCTTTAACATCAATACATTTTGGAATGAGTATGACACTAAACCTGCATAGATTAAGTGTTAATTGCATAATTCACAGAACTGTATTGTTGCTGGATGCTAAAGTCCCTGTTCTATGTACCAGATACCTGATTTGGAAGTCAGAAAATCGCAGGTCTAGCTTAGAAATCACTGCAATTACTTTTGTTAGAATGGGGAAAATGTATTTTCTACAAGTGGAGACACTAAGCTTTTAGAAAATGAAATAGGTAGAAAAGGATAAATGTTGGGAATATGAATGGGGGGAAAAAGACTACAGATTTGTTCCTTTGCCTTGAGAATGCTTACTGTAGTACAGGAATTTTAGGTACAGCCTTGATTTTAGTACAAGGGGTTGTGTTCCAAAACGTCTGCAATAAAGGATCTACTATTTGTTTTGGCCAAACAACAGAATAGTTCATTCAAAATAATTAATTAGTGCTTACTATCCAGTCTCCTCTCATTCTCCCATGAAAGATAAGAAAGATTTCTACAAAAGTACATCTACCCATTGCCACTTTACTGTAGTCTTGACAGTCAGGCTCCAGTCCATAATTTGAAAAGCATCCTTCTTTAATTTGTCATTTTAATCTCCTTTCACACAGGTATAAACATTCTCTTTGGATAATTGAACTCTATTTGCTTACCCTGCTGTTGGTTTTGTTATCAGATGCTGTTTGTCTACCTGCAAGACCTGGCAGAGGTTCAAGGAAAGTTTTTTTTTGAGTTTGCTGCCAGAAGATCTTAAGGTGAACACCCTCTGGGGGTAGCAGCTGTAAGCTTGTTCAAAATTAAACAAAAACTGCATTGGTAGACAAAATAAAACAGTGATTTTTTTTTTTTGCCACCACTGAGGCCATCAGTATTCATACTTTTAGTCTTTGATAATGAAGGTTTGGAAATGCTTGACAAATTCTTTTTGAAAGTGATTGCTATTTTTTTTCTTGATTCTTTCACTAGTTTTCTGCAGGCCATAATTTAGGAGAAATGGAATTAACACTGGTGCCAAAATGGCTACATGAAAGACAGCTGCCTTAGAAGTTACTCAGTTTTGATTTATTTTCCAATTTCATGTAAGGAGATGAGAAATAAATTGAAATTAACCAATTACAGTAATAATTTTTTCACTACCTCTATGTGATAAAATGCCATCTTAATACTGTGTTGACTCCTGCACAGACATTCAAAAATTTAAAGAATTAGGGAATCTAAAGATTACTTTAAAGTTTTTTGTTCTTATGTCTAAATTACTAAAGGAACTAGAAATCTTCTTTTTTTTCTCTTGATATTTTTTTTTCTTCTTTGTTTAACCTTAGAAAAAATTAGAGTGTTTCTGGTAATATCTTCCTACTATCTTCCTGTGCACTGAATTTTAGGAGGCAAGTTAATTCTTACATTTTTTCTCTTTCCTTCTATAAAGACTGCATGAAGTAGCTAGTACTGCTCAAATTATATAGAATGCATTCCAGAAAATTATGTAGTGATAAACAGAAGGAAATATTTAGTGGTGATTTTATCACATTTTTTTGGCTGTTTTGGAAACATCAGTAACAACTTGGTAGCTGAAGTCTAACCTCTTGCTTAGAAAATATACAACATTTTTCTCCTACACATTCGTTTCCATGTTTTTTTTTCATTAGTTTTGAGAGGGAGATGCTTCTTGCTGGCTAAATCTGGTTTGAATTTCACACGTATTTGAAACTGTACTTTATGTTTGCCAGTTCCACATTCCGCATTATAAAAATTAACTGAAGAAATCATGATCTTGTTCCATTCATTGCTCTGCAAAGTTCTGAGAACATTTGCTGTTTCTGAAAATGTGTGTATATGTGTCAATTAGAAAACTAATGATTGCTGTGATGGGAATGTTGAGGAGATAGATAAGCCAATTTTAACCTCTTAAACAACATTTTATTTGACTCTCATTCTTTAGCTGCACACTTCATGCTAATGCTTAGTTCATATCCAGCCCAGTCAAGCCGCTGCCCTCTGGATGTGGCTGTCCAAGAAATGCCTCATCCACCGAACAGCCCACCCACCAAATTCATCTCTGGGCAATTTAAAGGAAAGGATGCTGTGGGGGACCAAAGCAAAAGCCATACAGAAGTGCAAAGATTACATTCACAGTCCTTCCCTTGCCCACTGCTGTGGCCAGCACAGGGATGTTTGTGGCTACAATACATCTCTGCCTGAGTTTCATTTTTCATGCATGTCTCCAGTGGAGGGAATGTTTGGAGCAGGTTTAGAAAGCAGGAACTGGCCAAATGGATCTGCACCTGTCTCCCAACAACCCAAGTGCTGCTCTTGAGCTGTTGTGACAGCCTGCAACATCTACATGCCCAAAGAATTGTTTCTGCTACTCCTGGGATGAAAAAATACTTTCTGGTCTGGAAAACCAAAGTCAGAGGAAGCAAGAAGAACAAGACCAAGACAGTTTGAGTGCAGCTTTTTCCTGGGAAAAGAATTAAAGATTGATTGATCTTCTGCTGTACACTTCATCAATTTTTGTCTTATTTCCCCTTATAAATCAACAAAGACCATCATACAAATGCCAGAGTGCCTGTTGATAACAGCATGGAGATGTACTCTGATAAATTTTTAAGGTCCTGTCATCTTGCTGTGTAGAAGCTTTGAATTTTAATCTGGGGAAATCTGAGCTTTATTTTGATGTTTGTCTAGTGCCAAACACATAGATTCTGCTTTTTGACTAGGGATTTTTGCTGTAAATAAGATGAAAATAATAATTAATACAGTGTTGCATTGTAAAATGAGAGTGGTTGCACTGAATCCAGGACTAATATGGGCTGAATGAGAAGATGGAATGAAATCTTTATGTTGAGATGAGTAAACAAAATCCCATCACACTTCAGCTATTCATTCTCCTTAGGACTATCCTTTATCAGCAGGTAAGTAATATTTGTACTGTGTAGGTTTGATGATAAAGAAGACATTGTTAACTTTTCACAAGAGATTGCTTTCCCCTACAGTGGAAATGTATTCTATAGTTGAGATCACTCTGACAGGTTTTTAATTAGTCCTCGTGTTAAGAAGAGATTCTTTTCTGTGCTGAAAGCATGTGGGTTAGGTTTTTCACTTGTATCTAGGGGTAAAGGACAGGGAAAGGCTGCTGGACTTCTTTCACTTGAACAGACAAGAGGAAAAGGCATAAACTGTCAGACTCTGTCTGCCTGATATCAAAGTTACTGAAACAGGAAAAGCATTTGAGTAAACAGAGTTTTTAATTGCATAAACTCTGAAAATCTGACAGTTATGGAATTCATCATTAAAAGTAATAAATGATGCATCAGCTTCTGAAAAATAGAATTTTTTGTCTTTATTTGGTATTAGTCAGAACCATTTTTATTAATTCATACATTAATGCTTAGCAGGTACAAAGTGTTTTCCTTGATAACAGATTTTTTGTAGGTGGCAAGTTCATCAAAATTTAATTGGGGCACTTTAAATTATCTGACTGTGGAATATTTTTAGTATGTTCAATCAAAATCAGACTTGTCTTTTGAAATGTTTTAATATCCTGAAATCATATGCCCTTAGATGTTAACCCTTCTATAAACTATCTTTATGCTTTAAGGAAAGCAATTTTAAAGTTTTTTTGTTGGACTTGTTCAAATTCTTTATATTTTCTAAATGTCATGTTGAGACGAGCTCTTTGAAGTTAATTCATGCAATAAATAACATTTGGTTTTGCCAATCCTCATTTTAAAGTCATTAACAAGAATACTTCAAACACAGGTAATGAAAGGCAAATGCATTTGAATTGGATATTGGCTGTTCACTGTCTTCTCTCCCCTACACCAAGGTGCACACACAAATCACAACCCCAAAGAAAGTTTTTTGATTTGGAGACCAGGTAATGGCTCTGTTATAAAAAACAAGAGACTGTGGTCTTAGCCCACTTAGATTTTTATGGTGTGTATCCATTTCCCCACAGAACCTGAGCTGAAGATTTTGTGACCAGAGCATCTCCCAAGGAGAAAACCGCCCTCTGGATACCCCAGTGCTACTGCCAAAGGCATAAAATCCAGTGCTGCTTCTCATCATCTAAGTCCCTCCTGCTACCTAATGTGACATATTTTAATGGTGTTATTTTAAAGGAATTATCTGTAAAACACAGGAATTTCTGGTATTGTTTCAGTTGTCCTAAATTCTCAGCTTTTGGATTACTCATGGCTACAGTTGTTTATGCCATTGAATGAGTGGTGATATTAATACAGACAAAATTGTCTGAGATTTACATAAATTATTTTCAAAGAGTAGTGAGTTTAATGGAATCTTATGTAAATTTAAAAGAGAACAAATGTTGCAGGAAAGACCAAACACTTAGCAGCTAGCTGGACTTGCTAGGGTAGAACATAAGACTGTACCTCTTGGAAAAAGTTCTATATTTAATTGCTTAAGGATTTTCATAAGCATTAAGAAACTGTCCTTCACATTTAAAAAAAATTAAAAGCTTTAGACAACAAAGTAAATCGGGGATTTCAGAAGCAAAGCAGCACTGGTGTTCCAGCCATCTCCCTTGCTGCCTTTTATATTCAAGGTGTGTAAATCTTGGATGGCCTGACTGATGTGAAGGGCAGCTCACCAGGGGCCCGTTAGCAGCTGATGATAAAAGCCACCAGGACATCCTTTGGTACCGCAGAGCTCTCCTGCCTCTGACTGTTCTTCTTGGAAAATGTGGGGAGAGTTGTTCCAGCCATGATAATTCCGCTGCTGATGACCAGAGAGCTGTTATTTATAGAGACTGCTGCAGTTCTGCACTGGCCACATCCTGCCCATCCTGGTCACGGTGCCCTGCAGTGCCACAATCAGCCACACTCTGCTCCAGCTCAGGACTTACTTGTGAGCATCAGCATTTCTTCTCCTCTATGGACTCTCTGCTAAGCTCTGTTTTGCTGACCATTTATTTTTAGCCCCCTCGTCAGCCATGAGGGATTGATCTAGAAGGAGCACAATGAATAAACACAAGAAAAGTCTGTTTCTGTTAAGCAGGGTTTCATAGCAGTCTGCCTACTTGCAAAGCTACTATCAGAATATCTGATGAAAAGATCTTTAATCAATGGATATTATTCTCACTTCTGACCTGGCTGACCAGGCTGTCTGTTAATGGGAATTTCACCAGAAAAACTCCCATTACTCTGACAAGACCCCTTTTTCAGAAATAGAAGACAGATGCTTCCAGATTTCAGAAAGAGCTTAGCAAATGGAACAAAGTCCTACAAGTAAAAATAAAAACTTAAAGAGCCAAAGGAATTCTTTAGGGGAAAAAAAACCCACCTGCTAATAAGAAAATAATCAGTACAAATAGAAATATCAATTATTTTCTTCCAAACAAGACATGATTTTATCAATTGAGTTTCTCATAAGTTTTCACTTTAAAAATTTCCAAAATATTGAAATAACATTGAAGGCAAAATTAAGATTTGTTATAACAAAGAAAGTCAAGTTCTGTCAGAAATATTACTGGAGGAAGCTCTGCATGTGAAAACTAGGATCTTCTGTCATTTGTTGTTCAAATCTTTCTGACACCATTTTTCTGAAAAGCCAGCAAACATGAAATAGCCAAAATTCCTCCATTTTGAAATTCATAGGAATGTTGTGTACTTTTAAATAGAGTTTAAGGAATATTTCTACTTAGTCTAAAATAAAAATAACACCATCTGCAGCCTTACTAGAGGCAATTCTTTTACCCCTCTAACAAGAATCAGATCAGGAAAGAAATACAAGGTTTTACAAGTTTTCTCCTTCTCTGTTTACCGCTCCATTATATCAACATTTTTGTAACAACTTCAGTGCAGTTAATTTGGTCATTGAAAATCCATGAATGGCATGGATTTTCCTGTGTCACTTCTTTTTTGGGTATAACATTTCAGGAGCAGTCATTCAGCTGTTCTGCCTCCTCCACTTCCATCATCATTCTTTGTCCTTGTTTAGAACATCCTCTGTCTCGACTGCAACAGTCTCAGTTATTTTGTATTTTGAAGTTGTGATTTGTTCCTAGGGGTAGTTTTTAAAGATGTGTGAATTAGGTATCTGCTACCCCTGCTTACTATGACTCTCTAGACTGGGGTTTTTTAAAAACTCATTCCATCTACAGTGAAATACTTAAATTATTTTGAATCCCTTGTGTAAACACAGTGATCTTGTGATGCAGCTTCAGCAACAGACCTATGTGCAACCCATGTCATCCACCTTTATTACACAGTGAAAGAATTGATCAGGGAAGGAAGAAAATTTCATTTTCATATGGTTTGCTGAAAGTTCAATAACATTCACAGAACAGCCAGTACCCTGAAGGTTTCTCCAGACCAAAATGTTCATTTTGTATGGAGAAGATGCATAAAGAATAGGAGATTATGCAAGGGAAAAGATACTTACTGCAGAGTAACTGCAATTCCTTGACAAAATTCCCCAAGAGGCCAGGCTGGAGTTTTTGCTGTGTGAACCTTCTCCATCTGGTTTGAGGAGCTCTACAGGAACCCATGTCATGGTTCTTTACTATGGAGGCTAAAATGAAAAAGGGTGAAAACACTGTCTGAACCCGTGACTAGATTGGGAGCTACTTGTAGGAACAGACTTATTCTACCAAAGCATTGCATGTGTCACAAGGTTAAAAAATGCATCTCAAGTGGTGATGGTGCTTGAACTTCAGAAGCTAATTTCAGAAAATTTACATTTAAGTCCCAGAAGTCTGTGTGCTGCTGCAGAAAGTGAAGCAATATCAGTCCTGAAAAGTTAACATTATAACAACAAAACATCAAGGGAGACCCCAAGAGGGAAGCAATGCAGAAAATGTTGATACCATAAACCAAGAATTTTCAGGCTGTCTTTGAAATAGTTTAAAATGATTGCACAGAACAAGAAGTGGGAAAAAATGTAAGAAAACACATTTGTGCGCTCTTTATAGGATTTTACCTCTTTGACAACTCTGCTTCTCAGAGCTGAAGTAGTTTAGAGGGTGTTTAAGTAATTACTGGAAATAGAGTTGCTTACTGTATTTCATCTTACACATGACTGTGCACCCTTCAAGAACTGCAATTGCATATAGAATATGGAATTAATGTGGTCCTTACCCAAAAAAAGTCCTAAAAATTCTTAGTGGACAATTGGTTGCAGTTAAAGTTAGACATTTTGAATGCGTAGAATAAAATTTACAGCTTTTTCTACTTGCAATGTTAAATCTGCAGATGGCAGCTCCTCTGTCTCTTCAAGTGGAATGGCACGAGCAGAATCATTCAGCAGAGAGTTTATATTATTATCTCAGCATGGTGAATAATTGCAAGCATCAAAATCAGCACTTCTAAAAGAAGTGACTTCAGAAGACTTCAAGAACATTCCAGGTAAGTGTATAAATGCTCTGCTGTAAGTTGTAGGAATGGCTACTGAAGAGCACATCCACATGATCAAAATCAAAAGCTTTAACTATCAGAAGGCTGCCTTCTGTGCCTTGACAGTCTTCCATTTGTCTGTGAATAATAAAGTTGAAGAAATTATTTCACATCTCTTTCAGCTGAATGGATTTATATCTGGTAAGATAAAAACACTGATGGAGATAAATGAGAATATGTTATGTGATTGCATTTCCCATTTAAAATTCAGCGATACTTTGAAATCAAATGCTGCTGCTTGACAGCGATGGCATTAGACATTTTTAATGTGTGCTTGGCACTCTGAACTGTGTGCTGTGAAAGATTCTGTCTCAAAGAGGTTTGTATGATAGCCTTTGTCAAATTCAGATAGTGAACATGAAAAGTGTCTAATCTGTCAAGAATTTTTATTGGGATTGTCTGTGATAGGCACACTGGTGTTTCACTTCCTTTTCCCTTTAATACATGAGAAATAAGGCAGAGTCATTCCAGATCCTTCCAGTTACAGAATCCTGACCTATCATTTCATGTCTAGGTTTTTCAGCATATGTGACTAAAAACCTTCTTTAAATGTTGCACCATTTCTGAGCCATCTGGCCCAGATGCAGAGCTCCACAGAGTGGTCCCACCATTATTTCTGTGACAGATTCCAGAACCAGCTGCCCAGCACCACTGCCTAAATGCTTCCTTTTGGAATCATCCACCATGCAAAAGTACATCACTCATGGCAATTATGGCCAGTAAATTTATTTTGTGAAGCTGGTTATGTCAACATTTCCTGCTCTTCTCCTCCCCATGTAATCTCAGAATTACTGATATATTTGTGGTTCTGCATGTGTTAAGACTAAAATTACACTGTATGTGCCCTATTTGTGACCCTGTGCATCCCACAAGAGAGGATGGCCTATGGATCCCTGTTCTATGACACTTCAAGGAGAAATCCCAGGGAGAGTGAGGAATTGCAAGTGATAAAAGCACTGCATTCCATTTCCCCCTTTCATTATCATCACAAATTCCCATAGTGTTCCATAAATTTATCTTTCAGAATGCCTCACTTTCCCTGTCATTGCCTGGGATTTTTGTTGCTTGCTTATTTTCAGCAGTCCCCCCATGTTTGTGTTTTATGGTGCATTTTGTTTTGCTCATTTCATAGCAAATATACATAAATATTTAAACACTGTAGAAATTTCCTTTCTGCTATGAGTGATAGATACTCTGGGAGATGAGAGTTGTAGGGACAATGCTCTCAGGTACATGGTGTGATTCTTGGGGTGTCCTGTGCAAGGCCAGGAGTTGGACTGGGTGGTTCTTGTGAGTCCCTTCCAACTCAGCATATTCTGTGAAATCAGATGCTATTCTTCTCCTCGTTGCAAACTTCAAATTTACAAAAAAAAAAAAAAAAAAAAAAAAAGCCACCCAAAAAAACCCAAAAAACAAATAAACAAAAACAAACAAAAAAAAAACCAAACCAAAAAACCCAAAAAAACCACTTATTCAAGGGCATATTGTAACTTCCTAATGTAATAGCTCACTACATCACAGAAGGAATGAGTTCTTCAGGAATAACAGTACACCTTTCCACACCTTTTCAAAGGTGACCTATACTTTGAAATTTTTGCCCCTCTATAAAGACTTTTTAATGAAATCTGAGTAAAACATAATATGTTGCTTTGTAGGTGGGTTTTGAAATACCACTTTTGAAATAATTAACTGTATACATTTTCTTTAATCTTAGAAATTGGCACATGCAGGACTGCAAGGAGAGCAATTTCTGTTGTTTGTAGTTGTCCAGCCCAGGCTGGAAGTTAATGGAGTTTTGCAATCCAATTTTGGAACCTGTCTCCATATGAAATCAATAAGTCATTATATTCTTACCTGTGCTTCTTTGAAAGCACATGCAGGGGTTAGCAAATAACAATTCACTATTTCAGATTTTAGTACCTTCTCATTAGAATCCAGTGCATGTTAACATCAAATTTTGTCTTATCTTTGCTTTATTAGTTTACATAGACACAGCTTACTGTCAGCATAAATATTTTTGTACTTAAATTTCTGCCATTAAGGTATATTAAGACTTATTAACAAAGGAAATGCCGTGCATTAGAGGCATGAGCTCAGAAAAACCATGATTAAAAACTAATTTTTTTTTCTGTGATTTTTTTTTTTTCAATCATTTTCCTTAAAAGAGGATAAAAGTTTAAGTGGTTTTTTGGGAGGTTGGGGTTGTTGGGTTTCTTGCAGAAAAATGTGCATCAGGGTATTTTTTCCTGACAATGTAGGTATAGAACAGACTTGAGACTACTGAGCAGGTCTGAAAGCTTAAAGCATTTATATGTTATTTTGGGCACCTGTGTGTTGAAATAATTGTTTTGCTTAATTTATTGCATCTTAAACCCAAGCCATTTCTGTTTATAATTAGCAATGTTTTTTTGCTAAATCTACCTATTCTTGGCTGCAGACATGAGGTTGTCATATCCATTATTTGAGTTAGTAAGATGCAAAGCATTTGATTTTTTTTTTTAAATCTTTTTTTCTATTGGTTGGGGTTTGATTTTTTTTCCAAAACAGAACTGGAATGGAGTTGTAGATACTCTTACCTGATTAATTTCAGAATTGTTTCAAGACACTGATTTCAATAAAATAAAAGGAAAAGCTTGTGTTGGATGTTCTTTCAATACCACCTTGATTAGCACTGGCAATCTGTTTTCAGACTTCTGTTAGTATAATATTTCTTTGGCCTTACAAGTGGAGGGAAGACTGCAAATTGAATGATTTTACAAAAAAGTCTTTGGTACTCTTACAGAGTTTTTTGTTTAAAATCAGATACTGAGTTTGCTTTGCACATAAAGTTTTGGGATATTTACTGCTTATAATTTTAATAGGGTGACTTTGCAGAAACAAAACCAAATTCCAGGTTCATGCAGAATTATGAAACAGAGTTCTCCAAGTAAATAAAGTAACATGTATTTATGTGAATTTTACATTAAAGAACAATGCTAGAAATACCACATCAACATTTCTTTTTAGCTGGGTTGCCCATCCTGCGTTGTCATATAAATATGCATCAACCCCACACCCTGTGGTGGCTGTGATTAGGAAAGTAGGTGCAAAGGAGAATGAGCAGTGGGTGACATCCTGAGGACACCCTGGAAGTGACCTCGTGGAAAATCCGCGAGCACTTGCCAAAATTGAATCAGGAGGGGTGTTTGTGTTTGTGTGTATAAATATAGAACGGTATAAATCACAATTTGTTGCAATGTAGAGATTCTGCTTGAGATGCTCCTGTAATGGAATGAGCCCAATTTCCCAAGTGAGCTGTTCAGTGTTTGAGTCCTGCATAACTTAATGTTGACTTGTTAACCAGATTAGCTGCAGAAATTTCACAGATCAATCGATTCAAACCTACTTTCAACTATCACATGAGATTATTTTGGAGGTTGCTCTTCCAAATAAAAAGTAAATCTAATAAATCAGCCTATTGTGCCACCAAAGAGCTATTGCATTTCTGTTATTTATTAGAGTGGAATCAATATTTCATCTTCAGAAAGCTGCAGGTATTTGCCATGTTGTACATTTTTATGCATAGATGTAGGCAGTGCAAGCACCTCAACAGTTTCTTTCTTACACAAAATGGATGTAGAAATATTTCTAATTTCTATGAGGAGTGTTAAGACTGCCTGTAAGGTTTTATTTTGTTTTCTTAGTGGATCTCAGTGTTACTTGGTCAGACCTGAGAGCTTATTCTCATTATGGTCCCTAATAATTTAAATATTAGCCTCCCCAAAGTTGGCTGTATCTTTTGGGACCCCAGAATTCCAGCATCTGTAGTCATGATCCAGATAATCCTGTTCTGCCCCAATCTCTGTTTCTACCTTTGCCAAAACTTGTAGAAACAAAATTCAAAGTAAAGGTTCCTGACTGTACTATTTCAACCACGGGGGAATTTCCCAGCCTGGATGAGGTCAGCAGCTTGGATCCTTTGCCTGCTCCAGCCATCCAGTCTGCTGTAGAGGACTGCAATGAGAATAAGAAACTTCTCATGTATTTTCACTTGGAAAATCCAGCACCAGGCAGTGCTTTCCACATTACTGCTCTGCTCAAGAAAACCTCTAGAAAGGGTGCAGAATCCTGAGCTAGTAGCTTACATAGTAGAAAGAAAGCCTTGAAATGTGTGACCACAAGAAATGTGCACATCTGCCAGGACTTTTCCTGGTGATGAGCTTTTGTTGTGATGCTCATCACAGAAACTCAAACACAGATGTGAGAATTGTGGTTCAGGATTCCCAATTCTTGCATTTATTTTTTGAAAATCAAATTGCTGAAGTGATGCATATGGAGAAAAGGATATTCCAACTATTACTAAGGAATGCAGAGGAACCTTTATTTGAATTCTGTCCATTTGCAGAATGATTCTTTGGCCATGCAGTTTTGTGTGTATGGTGATTTGACAGAAATTTCTACAGCTCACTCAAGATGTGTGTGAACAGGAAACATTGTCTAAATATAATTAGCAACTTAAATGACAAGATTAATAGCACTTACTTTTTTTAATGGATTGGTTTGTTTGGGGTTTTTTTCTTTCTATAAATTTGGGAGTGGGGGGGGGGGGGGGGGTGTGGTTCTACAGTTTCAATGCACAGGCCAGAATTAGCAGTCCAAATCATATGATATAACCTTTTCTGCCTCCAACAGTTGGGGTTTTTTTGCCATTTGACAGCTGTAGCCCACAATATGATGGGAAATACTTCAGGCAAGAATGTTGAAATTAGGCATTCAGAATAATTAGACTTTGCAACTGGTTCTTCTAAAAAATATTTCCATATTCTGAATTGTACATAGGGTGCTCAATAATAACTAAGTGGGGCAGAACAAAATCTTTCTGTCTTCAGGTACGGGGTCCTTTGTGACTGCAGGTGGCTGAGTGGCATTTGAGAATGGCAGAAAAGGGAGTTTTCTCAAGTCTGTGCAGTGTGGGGCAGCTCTGGCAGCCCCTGAGAACACCCTTGACAGAAGGCTTGCTCCAAACCTGGGCTACCAGCAGCAGAAAGGACAGCAGAGCTCCTGATGCCAAGGCTTCCATGCCTTGGTCCCTCCTTTTGTGCTCACAACCATCTGGCAGGAGGCTGCTGCTGGTGTGCTCTGGCTTTGGAAACAGCATCCCTCCTCCAGAAGAGGATGATTTCAGCACTTCTGGGAAGCATAAAGTTGAATGTCTCATAAACTGTGCCCCAAATTTGACAGGTTACCTGCTGAGCTCTGTGCCAAATATCTGAATGGCAGATATTGAAAATTACTGATATTTTCCTGTTTCCTGTGCTTTCTCCTCACTGTGATTAATAATTGCAGTGAGGGAAAGGTCACAGTCACACAAGAACAACTCAGGTAACCAAACACACTGAGTTTATTCCTTTGATTTCTTAAACTCAGACTCACAAATTATCAAAAGCTTTTTGCCAGATCTGAATTTAATGTCATGACATTTTAAGGTTATATCACTGAGCTCCAGAGACAGCTCTCCCAGCTTCCTGCTCAGCCTCCCTTTCAGTCTCTTGTGTCTTGGGGGTTCATTCCTTCCTAATTAGATCCAGAGAAACCATCTGGATTTCAGCTCCCCTCGAGTAATCAATATGTCAGCCAGGGTCAGTGCTGTGCTGGCCAAAAGGGTGTCAAGGTTTGTGTTTGTACAGAGTTCCAAGAACTCCCTCTAATTCATTTTGCCTTTATGGCATTTGGTATCACCTAATATAGAATTAATATATGAAATATGAAAAATTATATTATGAAGAGTAATACTTAGAGTAGAGAAAGTTATTACCAATAACTGGAGTTCTTCAAAATACACTTACACTGCATCCCTACTTAGAGAGAATACTTTTGAGAAAATAAGATATTTTTTTTTAATTATAGGTCAAAGTGCTTCTACCTGAAGAACAGATCATACAATCTTCTAAGGCCCCTTCCACCTACTACAGTTTTCAGAATGGTTATGTCCTTCCTGTCATTTCCAAGTTTGGGACAGACTTGATTTAGTGGTTCAAGAGGTCCATTTTTCTCTTTTATTTTTTCAGTTTTATTCAGATACTGTGTCCAAAATTGAGAAAAATTATTATAAAGTGTGTTATTTGTTGTAAAACTAACAAAGTTAGAAGGAAACAAGAATTATTTCAGCAAATATGTTAATGGACCTTGTCTAGCTCCAGCAGCAACTTTTATAGACAATAATGAAGCAAAGCTGAAAAAGTCTGTTTGTGACTGAAATACTAAATTTAAAGGTTGAATTCTCTTGTCAAGCAGGAAAACCAGCAGAAGGATTTAATTTGCTTTTAAAAAGATTTTTCTGACAAGTGCATTTTTAAATTAAAAATCCTGAAACTCTTAAAATGAAGGTTTTTTTCTTTTGACAGAGACAAATATGACATCTTCATTTTATGATGTGTCTCATCTCTCTTAGGTCATGGCATTCAATTAAAAGCAGCATTAGAAAAAAGTGGTTTTCTGTAAAAGAAGCCTACTAAAGGCATTATTTGCTCTGAAAAAGTGTGGTTTTCTGTACATTCTTTGAGCTATCAAATAGGTGATTGGTAGAGCAGTCATTTTTAGGAACAAAGAATTATTTATAATTTACTTGAAATACCAATCAGACTGTTAAGTTATAGACAAATGCTGCTGCTTGTGAGCTCTGTGTGTCTACCACATATATTTGTGATAAATGTATATGCATTTTTAACAATAGGTTATTATTTTAAAGGTAAGGGGCAGAGAAAATACTGAAACTGTAAGAGTCACCAAAATGTTAGTGTCAAATACATTTTTGATTTTCAGGATTTTGTGCTTTCCCACTTTGCTCTGGCAAATAAAATTTAACAGTCTCTTATTCCATCACAATTTTACACTTTTTTAAAAAAAAATTAACAATCTCTTATTCCATCACAATTTTACACTTGCAGATTTCTGTGATTACAATCCTGGGTTGAGCAAAACTATTGCCAAATCCATGAAGAAAAAAGACAAAACTGACATCCCAGTAACAGCACTGGATAACAAGGACATATTTCAGTGTTGCAGCTCTTGCCCTGCTTTTTCTTTACAGTGTAATGATGCAGCAATTTTATTGTTTACCCCCTATGAAAAACAATCAAAATGCCCTGAGGGATAATTAAATGTTGTAGCAAGGAGGTAGCATGATTAAATCTGGTCTTGTTCCAGTTTTTTCTTCCATTTACTGGTTGAAACTACAGAGTAAATATTAATGCAGTGACTTTGAGGAACTGGTGTCTGTTTACTTGTATTTGTTAGTGGTCCTTTTGGAATCTTTAACAACAAGCATTTACTTAAAAGCTTAGCCATATGTGTATTTTTACACAAATTGTAAATATATTCAAAGATACGATGAAAAATATTAATTTTTTTTCAGTAATAGTACCAAACAGTAAAGGATGGGAGCCCTTCTGTGTTAAAAACCCGCTCAAAGCCCCACAGAATTGTGACACAGACTTAACAGTTTGCTTCAAAGACGTTTGGAGAGTGAAAAAACTTTTTTATATAACCACAAAAAAAAATTGCAGACATTTCTGTGTCTCAGGAGGAGATTGGGAGGTCTCTGATGGTGGTGTTGGACAGACTAAGCAAGCAGTAAACATTTAAATGGCATC